ATATACTAATATAATAATAATTTTTGATATACTAATATACTAATATACTGATATATTAATATACTAATATATACTAATATATTGATATATTAATATACTAATATACTAATATACTTGTGTGTGCGTATGTACTAATACATTAATATAATAATATACTAATATACTAATATTCTACATACTAATTCTTTATATACCAATATACTATATACTAACTTTTTATACTATATACCCTGTATAGTGATTACTTATTCAACAAATCCTTTGCAATCCAAAGTCTCGCTTCAAATAAAAAGTTGCGAGAACCGTGATCTGGTGTCTCATCTTGGTCCCGTCTTTCGAACGTACATGGACAATAATTCGCGCGCTAAATCTGTCACGGAATGGCTAATTCTCCTGGTACGTTAATCGCGAGCGTCCGTTCCGCAATTGCAAAATATTCGTCGACGGTTAACGGTCTATAAAAATCGATCGGAGTCAGAAGCTCCGACCGTTCAAATTTAATCGTCTGAGGTCTGTATTAGTGATTGAAGCTTTTTTCACCGTGATCGGAGATCGGGAACGGTCAGGAACATAATAGATGGAGGATGAAAGAGAGAGAGACAGAGAGAAAGCGAGAGAGAGAGCGGGAGCTGTCGAATCGCGAGCGCAGAAGCGTCGACCCGATAAGCGTCAACGGGTTCGTTAAACTTCGCGTTTTTCATTCCCGGCGTTTCTCTTATTTCACCGGTCGCCACTCGAACGGAACGACACCTCCCGCGGCCGCTTTTGTTCGAGAATCTATTTGCTTGAATCTTTTAACGATACCGCGGAGTGCCTCTTGGGCTCCCGCGGTTTACGAAGGAGCCCCGGCCGGAGCCCTTCCACGGTGTCCTCGTCTCCTTTTCTTCTATAACGGCGCGAATTGCCGAGACAGAGACACTCCCGCCGCCTTAATGGCGAATCGTTAATTAATGCGCTCGAACTGCATTTGATCCGCGGGCTCCGAGCGAAAGTTCCGCCGTACGAACGGGAAAAGAAGCGCGCGCGCGCGCCCCGGGAAGAGCTGAGCACACAAAGAATATGGGAGTCGCGGATGAATCGGCGGATGATTAAAAGAACTTCCATCGAAACCGGCGAAAAAACTTTTTCCCGATGATTATATCCGGCATTCCCAATCCCGTTAAGTTCGTCGGAAGCGGACGCGACTGTACCGTGAAAATAAGATCGATCGTGGTACAGCCGTGATGCGCATCTTTTGTTCGACAAAACTCGACGATGCTTCTGCTATTTTTCTTTCATACGTTAATACGGAAATATATATAATATATACATGTACACAGGAAGTCCCGAAATTATGGTATTTTCGGGTTCCTCGGGTCATTCGAAGCAACTTTCTCCTTTGCAGAAATTTTCTACGAGGCTTCGTTCACGAGTTATTCACGAGAAACGGTGATCAATGAGAGAGCGAGTGCGGCTGACGCCCCGCCCTCGTAACCGCTGCCGCTGCGTCAGACGGACGGCGCGACGCGGCATTGGCCGAGAGGGCGGAGCGCTGGCCGCGCCAGCACTTTGATTGGTCTGTGTTTTTCGTTAATAACTCGTCAACGAAGCCGCGGATTGCATTTTCGCAAAGGAGAAAGTTACTTGGAATGAGCTCAGCTATCGCCCATTTTCGGCTCCTAAAATAATTGTGGAATTATAATGTATAAGATGTCTCAAAATTATGGTACCATTATAATATATATATCCTAATATTATTATTATTATTATTATATTATTGTATTATATATTGTTATATTATTTATTATTATTATATATTTATATATATTATCATTATTATGTTATTATATATATCCATGGACGATTTGCTTAAACATGGTAATCGATTTTTGTGGATCACAAGGGCACAGTAACTGGCACCGAAACTATTGTCTTTCTTTCTCCGACAATACAACGAAGACTCGATGTTTGTTCCATGAGAAAGTTCGCATCGACAATAAAGGAACTCCTCGAATTCTGAAGAAATGTCAATTAAATTGCTAAAGACGTTTTCAGCAGTGGCCGTCAACAGAGGGCACAGTAATTGGCTTCTTCACCCGTATCCGACGAAACAAATTCTTTTCTTTTTTCGTTGTTGCAGTAAGTAAGATCGTTATTGGGATGTAGCTCGGACAGGAATTCCAATTTGACGTACAATATAAGACCGTCTACCTTTAATAGTTGAACGAACTTTTCCCGATGCTTATTCATTTCTCACGGCCAACTGAACCCGGCCGGGTGAAAAGATCTGCCTTTCTTCGCCTTTCTTTTTCATCCTATTACGAAGCAGCAACACGGAGGGAAGCGCATCATCCCATGAAATGCTTCGAAGAGCTGCCAGAAAATTGACAATGTAATTCCGTCGGACGGACCGGAATATTTGAGGGCAGCGTAAACGGTGTATCCGGCCTCAGTAATCATGTAGGGCGCATAAAACGGGCGCGCGCGTTGACGAGTTCTGTGATCTATCTACGTTGCCTGAAATTTTTACGCTGCCAAAGTGCCGGGGAAACTTCACGCCGGCAACACCTATATACGTGGAATATAAATTTCCACGGAAAGTAGGTTCCGTCGATGGAACGACGCGCACAGACGACGCCGGCGACGGCGACGGCGACGGCGTCGGCGTCGCGCGAGCCACGCTCGAATGATTATGAATCGCGCGCAAATTAAATTTTGCGGCGCCCGATGAGGCGCTCCCTCCTTCTCTCTCTCTCTCTCTCTCTCTCCTTCTCTCTCCTTCTCTCTCTCTCTCTCTCTCTCTCTCTCTCTTTCCCTGGAAGTCTAATAGATATTTAATAAAGAAATGCGTGTGCACGCGAACAACGAACCCTCGAGCATATATATAGTAATGTCTCCCTAATTGTCGCTCAGATTGTCCGCAGAAATGGACAATTCGGGGAGAGGAGATGCGATTATTATTCGAGCCTTGCAGCTCGTTCTTTTATAGTTGTTGACAATCGGTAAAACTTTCCATTGATAAACTTTCAACAAATTGGTAACTTTCCAAAACTGATGTTTTATATATTTTTATATTTATATAATATGTAATATCANTTAAAACTGTTTTATATATTTTTATATTTATGTAATATCTTATATAATATAATATAATATAATATACTTAATATATTGTATACTATATATTATATAATATATTATATACTATATATTATATAATATATTATATACTATATATTATATATTATATTATATAATATATTGCATACTATATAATAAATATTATATTATACAGTATACTATATACTATATAGTATATATTACATTATACAGTATATTATATACCATATACTATATATTATATTATACAATACATTACATATTATATTATACAGTATATTATATACTATATATTATATATTATTATATTATTATGTACAATATATTACATATTATTATATTATTATTATATACTGTATTGTATACTACATACTATATTATATACTTTATTATGTTATGTATTATAATATACATATAATATAATTAATATAATATTTTTATATAATTTCATAAAATCTCAATAAAATTATCAGCATGCTCGCAATCGATTATATTCTTAGCAAAAGGTTTACGTGATGATTATTTTTATAGTTAACGATTGTGTCAACACCTATAAAAACTATCTACCGAAATTATTTTCCTGCCAATCCGATATTTCATCCTCCGAATTCGCGAAAGTTTGCACGCACGTTTCCAAACGGTTATTCGTTCCGTTCGTGCTTGACGACCGCGAGGTTTGCGCATACGTTTCGAGCCGTGCTGTAATGAGATCAAAGGATTACGCGAACGCTTGGTCAAGTTTCATTTTAATAGTGCCCGACAGAATCCCTATCGGAGCTCGGAGCTTTGTTCGCGACGAGCACTTCGAAAATTCCGTCGGCACAAAGCGGTATTGTTCGGACGCTCATTGACCCCGATAATAAAACTAAATCGCGCTCAAGTTAATTGCACCGTGGTCTATGAACCTATCAAAAATTATTCGAGGAACCTCGGCATTGTGCAACTGTACCTTATAAATAATTCAGCGAAGATGCCGCAACATTTGCGACAATTCCAGCGAATTATTTTTCAATAGTTTACCGAACTATTTATTATTACTTTCTCTCTACATTAATCGCTCTAATTAGTTCTCCTATCTTCAGAATATTCAAAACGTCCCTTTCGCGAAACAAACAAAGAATCAATTAATTTGAATCCTCCAAGATGCAATTTTTTCTCTAAGAATCTCTCGCGCATCGAGCAGCATAAATTAATGCCGCGACATCTAAAAAAAAGAAAGAAAATTCAAGGCAATTCAACATGAAAAAAGCACTCTCGAATTGAAACAGTGGTGGATGACCGGTCGCCTGTAAGAGCGAAATGTCGATTAAACCCGGCATAATTTATTAGGCACACATCAATTAACTGAATTGGTCGGATTGATGTTCGACGCGGGCGCAAAGCTTATAATAAAACAGAGAGGTAATCAATTACCGTGAGGTATTTGTAACCGAGCACGCTCAGCAGCCCGGCCAACAGTCCCACGATCAGAGCGCCCACCGGCTCGCACATCATGCCTATGTTTACACAGAAAATGTTGCGCCGGTTAGCCGCGCGGTTCAACGTCCGTGCAGATCCGGCCAATTAATTAATACCGGGCGCGTACCTGCCGCGGTGCCGATGGCCACACCACCGGCCAGGGTCGAGTTCTGTATATGGACCATGTTGAATTTGCTGTCCTTCGAGACCACCGCCGAGGTGGCGAACGCGATCACGCAGCTCGCCGAGATCGACAAAAGGGTGTTTATGATCGCTCGTTGTTGGTCGTCGCCTTCGAGGGCGGCGCTGTTAAACGACGGCCAGAAGAGCCACAGGAACACCGTGCCTGCGTACAAAATGAATGATTATCTTATAAGCTGACGTCTCGATGTTTCGCCGTTTGGGTATATGCATGCAAATATATTTAAAAATATATATATTAATATATATATATATATATATTCGTTAATATACAAATATTAATATATTGTGCATAATATTGGTATATTTATTAATATTCTAATATTAATATATTATATATAATATTGATATATCCATCGATATACTAATACTAATATATTATATATAATATTGATATATTCATTAATATAATAATATTAATATATTATATATAATATTGACATAATCATTAATATACTAATATTAATATATTATATATAATATTGATATACTCATTAATATACTATTATTAATATATTATATATAATAGTGATATA